CCTGCATTGGCATTCTCAAGAGGGCTGCACTTGGGGTCACGCATCAGTCCTGTGGCACCACGGGCCAGGACAGGGGGCATTTACAGGCAACAGCAGCAGGTGCTGAAAGCCCAGCAAGGCTCTGCCCAGCTGCCACCCTGGCCCCAAACACTGCTGGGCTCCTCCAGGAAGCTGAGTGAAGCTCAGCTCTGACATGGCCACAGCCAGGTGGCTCCCAGAGATGTGCAAGGGGCACAGGGAGTGGCTACGTCCTTCCCCAAGGAGTGCTACAGGTAAACAAAGGCAGATGAGGCTGTTGGCTCTGGGCTACTCGTCCTACGAAGCTCATCTTTACCCTGCCACCTGGGAAGTGACGGCCCTTCACCAGGCACCTCCCAGAAGAAGCCGCCCCCCATGGCCACAGCCAGGTGGCTCCCAGAGATGTGCAAGGGGCACAGGGAGTGGCTACGTCCTTCCCCAAGGAGTGCTACAGGTAAACAAAGGCAGATGAGGCTGTTGGCTCTGGGCTACTCGTCCTACGAAGCTCATCTTTACCCTGCCACCTGGGAAGTGACGGCCCTTCACCAGGCACCTCCCAGAAGAAGCCGCCCCCCAAGAGCTCTGGCTCAGAGCAGCTCCTCAGCAGAGCAGAGACTTACTTCTGGAGAGCTGGTCTCTCTCAGGACCAGCTCACCCCCGCTCAGCGCCGGCTGCGAGTCGGAGTCCTCGGAGAGCTTCTCCTCATCCTCCTCGTGGATCGGGGACGAGGGAGACCGTAGTGTGCTGCAGCAAGAAGAAACTCCACTTGCAAGGAGCTGCAGCGCTGCCAGCACCGTGGGCCCCGGCGGATCTGGGGGCAGCAGCTCAAGTTGTCCCTCCACCAGCAGCAGAAGCCAACACACATGAGCAGGAGCTCAAACTACAGAGCTAAAGTCACCAGGTCCCTCCAGTATCAGCTACACAGAGACCAGCACGTGAAGTGCACTGGCAGTGGGCTGCTCACTCTGCTTCTACATCCTCCACCACTACGCCACTAGAGGAGGCTTCAGACAACAACTAAAGCACCTCGTTCAGCATTTTGTGCTCTGAAATTCAGATGCTTCTCTCCCCACTCTTTGAACTCCAAGGAAAGCTGAAATCCAGCAAGGTTTGGATGTCAAATGCAAATTGGGCTAACTGCATCGGAAAGGAGATGTTCCCCTCCAAAGCCTGGATTAAATTCTCACTGTTAAAAATCCTCTTTCTTTTGGGGACGAAGCTATAGGACGCATAAGCCGGTCACCTCAGGCTGAACACAGGGGTGACATCCCAATTCTCTCCCTGGCATGAGGACCTGCTGGCCTCCTAAAACTCTGAGCTAGCAGTGCTACCAGTGACAGGATCAGCCAGAGCTCTTTCCCAGCGGCCAGAAGCCCTCAGGGCTTGCAGGAGGAGCGGACCCCTCCGTCCCCATGCTGACCTATCCGGAGACTTGCTCCGTTTGCCCTTTTGGTGGCTGCTCTCCAGGGCTCTGTCCACGGCGGCGAGGGGCCGGGGCAGCCCGTCCACCACGCCCGAGTAGCTGATCTCGTCGTAGAGAGGAGCTGAGGGGATGGAGGGCGACACCGAGCGCAGCCCGTTCAGCGCTTCCAGCAGGGAGATGGGCTCGTAGCCTGGAGGGATGTTGTCAGAGCTCTGTGGGCCAGAAAGAGAGAGGGGGGTGTGAGCTGGAGGAAAGGGGAGGCCCCGCTGCGAGCCCTGCACGTCCCACGCCGGGCTCCCAGGCAGCACAGCCCTGCAGCCACCTCTCCAGAGAGCCTCGGCCTCCGGCCCCTGAAACGGGTGCATGGTCCCCTTTGGGTGGTAACTGGTCCAGGCCACTCCCCAGAGCAGTGCTCGAGACCCTGGGCATCTCAGGAAGCCAGAACATGGCTTGGCACCACACCTGACACACGCTGAAGAGCTAGGCAAGAAGCTGGGAAAGCAGGTTCCTAACCAAGCTATTATAAAATATATTTGGATTTTTTCTCCTAAAATTTCCTCCAGTGGTTCAGAGACCCTTCCGGCTCAATAAACACCTTACCTGTGCTTCCAGCCCTGGTGGGGGGGCTTGTTTCACAGCACTGCCAGCATCACTGAGAGAGAGTCGAAGGAGGGGAAGTGTGCACCAGCTGAGAGCTGGTCCTTGGATCCAACACCACTCCTACCACCCCCACGGCCTCAGTCCTCCCAGCTGCTAATGCTGGTGCTCTGCACAGTCACCTCTGCTAAAGGTGGGAAAGGGACCCAAGTCCCTCTGTAACTCACTCAGCTGCCACTCCAAGGGACCTTTGCAAAGCCATTAAACCAGCACTGGTTTAATTCAAAAAGTCCTGATTGTGACAACCCTGTGGACTCAGAGGCTAATGGGGTTTGTGCTACAGCCCAGCAGGCCAGTGGCAGCTCGGCCCAGCCCTCTGCTCACAAGGCAAGACTGCAGCAGTCCAATCTTACAGTAAATGGAGCTGCTTCAGCCCTGCAGCCTCAGGGAGGTGGTTCTGTTGTACCTAAGATGGTGTGCTGCTGCTAAGCCTGACCATGAACTCCTCAAGCTCCTCTGTGCCTGACCTCCTGGTCTCACAGCTGCCAAGGAGCCTGCCCAGCAACCTGCTCCAACACAGCCCCGAATTCTGTGTGAGTTTAATGCTGCACTGACTCACTTGTGCTCACAGAAGGGGAGGAGAGAATGAGTGGTGCCTGGGGTCAAGCATCAACCCACATCCCCTAAGTATTGGTCTCGTGGTGGTTTCTGAAGCCCAGAGCTGGTGAGTGTGGGACAGCCAGGTCAGCTGGTGCCTGCCACCTGCAGGCAATGTGGCAGGAGCCACCTCCACCAACCCACCTGCCTCCAGGCAGCGGCTCAGAGGTGCTGCTTTGTGGACAGGAAGGTCAGGCAGACAAAACCCCCTCGCTCACGTGTGGGACACTCTCTCCTGGCTGTGTACACCAAGGCCTGAGGGTTCAAAGGCTGCTCCTTTCGGTTCGCTGTGGTGACAGCTCACGTTCTGCAGCACAGCTCAGAGGCTGGGGGAGGATTTCTCAGCCAGTGGCTAAAACACCTTTGCTGCAAGTTACTGAGCTTTCAAACAAGCCTATGAGACACTGCTCTCTCCTGGGACACTGCCTCACCCACAGGGCCTGCTGCTCCAGCAGGAGTGCTGCTGGTTGCTGGAGGAGGCCTGCAGAGAGCCAGGGTCATGCCCAGCTTGCAACAGCCTCATGACCTGAACCCAGCCTCAGGTTTTCTCCAGACCCAACAGGCACAGCAAGCTGCATTCCTCTTGAGGCTGAGCATCCAGGCTGGCTCAAGTGAAAGAAAACTGCAGCCTCCTTGGTACCACGGCAGCTGTAGCTCTGTCTGATGGGAGTACACAAAGAAGGCACAAACAGATCCTGCCTGGCTTGGGGTCCTCCCTCACCGCTCCCCTTCCCAGCTCCTGGTCCCCCACAACTGCCATTTGTGCTGTCCCCAGTACAGAATTCCAGTGACACTCTCACACCAGCTCGGAGAGTCCCAAACAAACCAAGCCCCATCCCTCCTGTCTCTGTAAAAGCCAAACAGCCACTGCAGCCAGTGCTCCCAAGTGCAAAGCCTGGTCCAACTGTGCCTTTTGTCATCCTCTACATCCCAGCACCGGGGTGGAAACCACAAGATGTGCCCGTGCCCGACTGCCAAGGGGACAAGACAAGTGCAAGGAAGCTTTCGGGTGAGCCAAGGGGACAGCAGCTTGCCCACAGTCCTCCCAAAGCTACCAGAACACCTCAGCCAGGCTCAGGACCTGGGGACAGTCCCCGAGAGCCAGCATCAGCCCCCGGTGAGAAGCTGCTTCCACCTTGCTCACTCCTCCACAGGCAGCCCGGGGCAGGGGGTGGGTGACGGCCCGTGCAGGGCGTGAGCGTCTCGCCGCTAGCCTGGGGGTGGCACGTGGAGTGTCACAGCCCGTGCAGGGGCACGAGGGAACCCGGCGTGCCACGAGCTGCCCCGTGTGCTACCAACACCGCTGCCGGGGGAGCCGAACCCAGCCGAGGCCACTTACTGGTTCCCTTCTAGGCTTCCTGCTGGGCAGGGAGACAGGGCAGGCTTTAAGGGGTTTAAAGGGACGCTGTCGAGAGAAAATCGTGGTTTAAAGAAGTTGTTTCTTGAGGTTAGTGACACGAAGAGACACACAGCACCTCCTCACCTCGCCCCCGCTCTGCTTCACAACAACCCTCAGGGTTTGGCCCCTGCCCTGTTTTAGCCCTTGGTAAAGGCAGCAGGGCTACAGAGCACAGAAGGCTAAAACCTGGCTTCTCCTGGGGCAGCACCTTCCCGTTCCCATGGAAGCCTGTAGGATGATCTAGGTGCAGATCTCTCCTCGCTCTGCTCACGTGTCTCACCAGAGCCCCGATGGCACCGAGGACGTGTGACTGGGCCCCGAGGCCTCCAGCACCACAGCTTCCAGCCCACGCTCCCTCAGCAGCCTGCCCAGACCCCGGTCACCCAGGGAGGCTGGCACAAAGAGGCCTCTCTGCCACCGTGCTGGGAACCCTGGCTGCCCAGGGCATTTCATCAGAGCGTGCTGCCACACAAACCTGTGTGCAAGTCCGACTGTAACCCTCCCCATTTTCCCAGCTCCCACTCTGTCATGCTCAGAGTCTGCCACTTTTCTGCTGGGAAAAGCCCCACGGAACCTTCTCAGACTGAGGTTGCTGTGGATTTGTTTCCTCTGCTGTCTGGCAGGGTTGACAAGAGAGGCTGTGCTTCCCAGGAAGACCCCTCTGCATGGCCTGAGCACACCTCCTGAGGTCCCAGGGCCACCAGCCACCAGGTCAAGCAACCCACACCCCCACAGGCTGCCCGCTCAGGCTGGGACTGCTGCCCAGGCTCTGTCCCCAGGGCTGTGAGGTACTCACAGAGTGCTCGTCATGGTCAACGCTCTGAGCCAAGACAGGGCTGAAGGAGACTGGCGACAGGGCCCCCGGCTTCTTCCGCACAGCCCGGATCTGCAGCAGGGCACGGAAGGCTAGGAGAGAACAGCAGGCAGGTGAGCACAGGGCCAAGCAGGGCCAGGACACAGCAGATACATGCCAGAGCCTCTCAGCTTGCCACAGACACACCGTTGGCACGGGGGAGTTCCCCATGTGCACGGCGAGCAGGGCCGTGGGGCAGACCCAAGCCAAGTGCTGTGGTCTGGCTTCCAGACAGTTGATCTAGAAAGGGAAAAGATCTGCTGGCCAAAAAAGGCCAAGTACACACAGCCTGTGCAGAGAGCAGGCACTGCCAGCCTTGGTCCAGTCAGGCACAGAGGTGCTTCAGGCCTGATACTGTACGACAGAGCAAGGAGAACATGAGCTTGGCCTTGGGTGGTGAGCTGTGAGCTACAGGAGGGTGGGGAGGGCTCCTGACAAAGCCCTGGGGGTTCATTCAGACCCCATGAGTCTCAGCCCTGGGGTCCAGCTGGCACTGGAAGCACTGCTCCTGCCATGGCCACTCACCCACCAGCCAGCACCACGGTGGTGAGAGGCTCTGCAAGAGCTGAGAACTCAGAAAGTTAGTGGCCATACTCCTGTCTCCAGCACAGAGATCCCTTGGTCCTCCCACCACAACAGCTTTGATCTCCACTCCCTGCTCACAGCCCTGTTTTCTACCTGCAGATCTTTAATCCTGTTAGTTCCTCTGTGCCAAGGGTGCACAGGAATGAGGCCGACATCTGTCCTGATGCAGCTGCAAGGACTTGCTCCTACATAAGGGAAAGCCCAGGCACTTCCCCAGCCCTCTTGCACCCAGCTGCCTCCAAGATCAGACTAGAGCCAGAGGACTGAGGTGCAGATCTACCCTTGCTGCCTCTGCTCTCCCCAGAAGCAGATTCCCAGGAAGTCTGGCACGGGAGCACTTCCCAAACAAAAGGAATGTACCCACCACAGCGTGCAGGTCAGGTGGTGCTGCTCCTGGGGTTCAAGCTGTGCTACTTAGAGTCAAAGCTGTCTGGCACTTCCTCTGCTTAGATCTTGCTTTTGATTAGTGCATTTTGTTTAGTGCATTTTCCTGGTAGCGCAGGGTTAGACCTAATTTCTCAGGCCAAACATCTGTCTTAGGCTCTTTCTTTCTTTTCCTGAGAAGTATCAGTCAGAAACAATCAAATACCTCAGAGACCAAGCCCAGGGTAAAACACATGATCTGTCTCCTCCAGCAAAACCACCAGTATTTTCTCAAGAGACTCTTAAGTCTCTGTGCTTTTGAGAAAAGATGTGGAAGTGAACAAGTGCTGCCCAAGTGTCAGAAGAGGTATTTCATTCTTTCCATCTTTTGGGAGCTGAGCAATGCTGGGGTTAAGAAGCTCCTCCTAACCCCCCTGGCAAAGCCAAGGACTCCAAATTGACTGTTATCTCCTCTCTGCCTCCCTGGTGAAGTCAAAGTAGAGGGGAGAAAAAAAATAAAATCATATGAAGTGCTTGGACAGTAGTGGCTGGCTACTCTCAGGATAAAGCTTCTACATCCCCTCCTTTGGGGGATTTTTCATCATCTTCACCAAAACACAAGAACTGCCCACATGGCCTGACTCAGATCACCTGCCCCTTCAGCTCCACCCCTAGGAGAGGGCAAGCAGACAAGGAGGCACTGGACAAAAGGCCATTCTCCCACGTGCTCTCCTCCTTCCCTGTTTGGAGACAGTTCATTTAGGTGCCAGGAATCTCCAGATGCCAGCAGGGTGTTTGTCACTGAGCTTTGAGGTGGCAAAACCCACAGAGACCCCCTCTCCCAGCCCGTCCTGACTTCAGAGGAGCCCAGGGGAGAGAGGGGTGCCCCTGGCTCTGGGGCAGACACTCACGGAGCCTGCAGATGGGGCAGTTGTTGGCCTGGTAGCGCAGGGTGTCGGCGCAGGAGTTGCAGAGGCAGAGGTGCCTGCAGGGCAGGATGAGGGTGTCCCGGAGGTCAGACAGGCACACCACACACTCGTTGCTGTTGTCGCTGTTCTCGTCGTCCGAGGGCTGCAACGAGAGGCAAGACCTTGGCAAACTGAGCTGCCCAGGGGAAATCCCCAGGCAAAAGCCCGTGGGAGAGCTGGCATCCTCATTCCACAGCTCAAGGAGAGCAAGCTCCAGCCTGCACGGCCCTGCTACAGACTCCCTGTCCTCTTGGGTTCTGCTCTGAGCTCACTGAAGGCCACAGGAGCTCCCCAGAGCTGCCTGCTGACTGTGGCAGGCAGAAGGTCAGGCTGTCCCTGGGCTGGACAGAAGGAGACACTCCAGCCATGTCTAGCCCAGGTCTTCTGAACAAGTGATGGAGTGAGTGGTTCTCCTGCCCCACTGCTGTGCTGGCAGAAGCTTTGATGCAGCTGCAGGAGAACCAGCCTGGGATGCTCACCTGCTCACAGCTACCCTGGTAAAAAGGTCTGTGTGAACCCATCCAACACAAACGTGCATCATCCTCCTCTTTCAGTCACTCAGAGCCCCACAAATGGGACTACAGCCACAGAGCAAGCTGTTGCTGGGAGGAGAAACCCACTCTCAACCATAGGAGCTCTCTTCACTGACACCCAAGAACCCCCCAGTCTGCCCACTGATGCCACAGAAGTTTTGCCTGAGCCCACCAAGCTGATGACCCAGCATGGGCCACCTTCACCTGGCCCCACTTCACAAGGCCCCTTTGGTTACCAGAGGTAACACATGCTAGAGGCCACAGGCAGTCTTGGTGTAAACTCAGTGTATATTGATACCTCTGCTGCTGCCACATCCACATCCAGCCTGCTGACTCTCTGCCTCATCACATGTGCTCCCCCTGTTTTGGGAGGGAAGGAGGGCAGGCTTTGGTTTTCCCATTCCTAGGTTTGCTTAAGTGTACTAGCTAGGACAACAATGGCCCCAGGCCACTTGTCTGATGGGCCACAGATCTGTGATTGTTGGCTGAATAGATCATCACATGACCCTGGAGGACCCAGACAGAAGCCTTCAGTCCTCATAGATAAATCCTGTGAAAGAAAAATCTTTGGGAAGACTTCATCCTCCTGCCTCTTCAGGTGATACCTGTTGGCGTGGGCAGAAAGAGATGACAAGAAGCTCAGGAAGCTTTGGGCAGGACATTGCATTGCTTGGAGAGGAAATCCTGCTTGTCTTGCTCTGTGGCTGCTCCTCTGTTGGCAAATCCCACACCAGAGCAGTCTGAGCCCAGCACTCTCAGCCCAGGTGGCAGCAAAGGGCAGCTCTACACAAGGCTAAAGCATGCACAGAGCAGGCTGCTCTCTGGACACTGGCAAGCCTTGGAGAGCTCAGTTCCCTGCAGTGCTACAGGAACATGCAGTCATCCATCCCCCACCAAATGGAAGAACAGGAAGGGGCCACAGGAGCAAAGCACAGACACCTTGACTGGCCCACGGTTGTCTCTACAAGCCCTAAAAATCAGTGCTCTGAAACACCCACGGGCTACTGGTGCCCTTTGGTTCCAGCACACCCAGCCCCAGGGAACTTCCTCAAGACTCACGTTATCTAAAATGATCTCAGCACAACTCCACTGGCTGTTAGGGCCTTGCAACAGTGAGGACTTATTCCTACAGGCGCTGAAGAAGCCCAGAGGTGATGACACAGACTTGAGAGTCATCCTGGGAAGTGCCCTGACCTTGCCCTGCCAAGCCCTGTGGTTAAGCAGAAGGTGCAGGCTGGAAACCCAGAGCTCAGGGAGCAGGAGCCTGCTGAGCAGCTCTGAGCACCTTTACCTTGGTCTCTTGGTTGTTTTTGTTCTCGATGCCGTAGATCTCCTGAAGCAGATAGCTCACCCGGTCCACCTAGGGGAGAAGACAAGAGTTGGAGTGCCAGCTGCTCTGCCAGTGCTCCCTGGTGACCACCTCCCCTCCCTCTGTCAAAATGTCCACGTTACAGCCAGCTCTCCTGCAGCTACATGCAAAAGTTAACAGACAGAACAGGAAGACTGGGTCTATGCACAGAGCACAAAGACCTGCACCACTGCCCCATCACTCCTATATCTGTCCCCCCAACAACCAACCCAACGTTAAGGGCTGCCTTTACTTGCAACAGCTGAGCTAACAAGGTGAGATCTCAGGCTCTCAAGCTTCCCACTGGGTACAGTCAGGCACCTGTGGGACACCAGTCAATGTCTTTACTGGAGCAGCAGACAGGCAGCAGGTACTTACAATCTGCTTCTGTTTTAAGGGCTTCACGGAGAAACTGCCATCGACGTGCTGGCAGGGAAAAAAGGAAACCTATTAGACAGCTGAAGTGTACAGGTTAAGAGTTATCAGTCATCTGGCTGCAAGAAGGGAGGCACAGGTATAGCCAGGACAGCCTGGATGGTGACCATTCCCAGCAGAGTTGGTGGGACTTGCTACTGGTGTGCTCCTTCTCTGCTCCAGGGCAGAGCTCGATGGACTTGGCCCGTGCTAAACCTGGCTCGGAGCACACACAAAAATCCCCTGCCATGCTGGATGCCTTCAGGCTGCAAGCAGTCCAACTGGGTGCAAACACTGCTTCAGCCAGTCCAGCAAGACTTGGTAAGGGATATTTGTTAACACCCTTAATAACATCCAGTTACAGAGCCCCAGGAGAGCAGGGGGCTGGCATGAGGCTGAGAACAAGGCCTGTCCTCTGGAGGGGTGGAGGCAGAAAGAAGTCACCCGTGCTCCACATGGCCACGTGCAGAGCTGTGTGACCACCTCCAGCCCTTCGTTTGCTCAGTGGCAGCAGGCAGGGCTGGAGCAATTCTGTACCTACCTGGTGCCCGAACTCCTGAGCAGAGTTGTGTGCTGTTGCTATTTTCTCCATCACCCCCAAGGGCCAACTAAAATGAGAGAAACCAACTCTCCTGCCAGTCTAGAGAGCAGGAAAGGAGACTTAGGGGAAAATCCCAGAGGCCCTGCTGCTGCCAACTGCTGCACATCTGTTTGCTGAAGGAGTTTCAGAAGGAAGGAACAACAGCATTGCACCAACAGACAAACCTGTCCTGCTTTCCAGGCAAACACAAAGTGCCAAGTCTCTGCCTGTGGAGGAGCTGCAAGGCCAGACCACGTGTAGCATGAAGGTTACTCCTCTGATCTTAAAGGTACATATAAATAGCAAGTTCCTGAGGCCTGCTGGTCTGCCTGTCCTCTGAGCACACGCCAGTGATCAGCAGCAGTGCTTTTTACTCTAGATTAATGGACCTGCACTTCAAAAGCTGCAGTTACTCTAAGGATGGGGAATATACTTTGATCAAATAGGGAGGAAAGAGAACTCAACAAGCACTTTGCTGTGTGACTTTTTATAAAAGGAAGGTTTTGATCTGGTTTTAAGCATTCAGATGAAGATGAGAAGCAAGAAGCAGCCCCACCAGACAGCATCTCCCTCTTGCAGCACACACAGACTAGAAAAAGAAGGGAAGCACCTTCAATCTTTGAGCTCAGACCTGGACACGGGACAAAATCCAGCACTGAGGGAATGCCTGACCAGCTCTAGCTGGTCCTCAGTGTTCCTGCCATCACCTTTGTGCATCCAGAGCTCAGAGGTCCTGCACAGTAGGTGGAACTTGCCTATAATCCTTGAAATCCTGCTTGGAGCAGTTCATGCCACTTTCCAATCTCATGAGGCAGAAATTTCCAAAGCTTCACTTCTGCCTTCATGGTAAGACACTCCCAATAACTGTATTTTCCTGTATCTTTCTACAAGGTGCTATTATCAAGTGCTGGCCACAGGATGTTAAGATGGGAAGCTGGGACAAATCCAGGTGCAAGTGAGAGCTCTACTTGCTGACCACAGAGGCTCACTGCAGCAGCACCACAGTTGGACACTTGGTGAGTCTTGCAGATGAGGAAGGCAAACATGCATAAAACATTTCAAAATCAGGCTGTAACATGCAGGAGACTAGAAGAATTAGAAGAATAACAACCCTGTCCTTGTCCCAGGGATGCTGCAGCTGCCCATCTCATTTCTGACAGATCTCTAATGGCCAGGAGTAGAATCACCTACAGAGCCAGTGCTCAGAGCAGCTTCTCTAACACATGAAAACTCTTTTTGCACATAACAAATCCAACAAAAAAAGCAACTTAGAACACTTAGAGCATCCTCCAGCCACAGAGCTTCCTTAGGACTGACTGTGCCTCTCATGCCCTCTGACTCAGCTTGTCACTATCCACACTGTCCACCTAAGAGGAACAGAATAAGACTTAACAATCTGCTCAGGGATACAGCAGGAACTGCACAGATGGAGAAACAGAAGTCAGCCACGTGCCAGCCTGGAAGTGGGGAAGTTCTAAACACTACAGCATTGGTGCTGCTCCCCTCCACATGCCCAGCTCTGCTCCAGCCTCTCTTGCTTCACCTTAGCAGGTCACTCCAAGTATCACTTGCCCAGGTTATGTGTCTGCAGCATCACCACAACTGGACACAATATGGTGCAGTTACAGATCTTGCAGCTGTTGTCAGGGTCCTGTTATCATGGGAGGAGATTTTCTTACCCAGGCTTGTGCCCAGAGCTTGGCTTAGTCTTACCATGTAGGCAGCAGTCAGCTGCATCAAACATGCCACTGAAAAGTAGTGTTGCAAAAGGTCTTAATGCAGGATGTATCCTAATTCTTTAAAAGGGCTTGGTCCTGTGTAAACCAAGGCCAAATAATAGTGCAACAGGGTCTGGACACAGCAGATCCAGTTCTGCCAAGAGATCAGGAGGCCTGGAAAACGGCACAGCAGCAGCCATGGGCAACAGCTGCCACCCTCAGACACCACCACTGAGGCACACCCGTCCCCACACACAGGAAACACCAGCTACAATTAGCTGAGTGACCAGCTCAGGTACAAATGATAATCACAGCCTGCACAGGAGCTGCTGCAGGTCATTAATGTACCACAACAGCACCCAGGAACCTCAGTCACGGGCCAGGACTCCATTGTGCTAACTGCTATATAAATACAAACTAATGACCCATGGAAATGCTTATATAAACCAGGACAGGGACAGAGGGGAAAAAAGAACTCCTTTACCTTTTCAAATGCAGCCAGAAGAACATGGGCATGACCTGTCACCTCAACCACCACTGCAGAAAGAGAAAGAGCAGCCCTGGTTAAACCCTGAAAACAGCACGAGCAAAAAACTCCCCTGAGCTGAATTTTAGTCCTTTCCCCATTTCTGAAGTGTCACCTGTTCTACTTTCATCTCCTCTCCCAGTTTAAAATTTTTGTTATCTTGTTGTCAGGTTGGTTCATCTCTGACTTTTGTAGAGAAAGACTAAAACCCTGCTGGGCTCTGTGGTGGGCCCTACATGGCCATGCCTTCATTATTGTGGGTGCTCCCAACTTTCCTGCTTTCTTCTCAGAGGTTGGGAAAAAAACAAAACCAAGTGCTCAGTGGGATTCTGTTCTTCCCTCAAATTCCTGTTTTTAATTACCTGGCTTTATCACAGAGATTAATAAATCCATCTGGTTTAACAGCAATTGGCAGCACTTCCAGCCCTCGTAGTTACTGCTTGATTTCATTCTAATCCAACATGCTTATAAACATTTATTTCTCATACCAATTTTGGATACTGAAACATCTCTGTCTGGTTCTCTGATTTTTTCCCCAAAGACAAACATCATGTCTTCCCTCTTCCAAATTCAAGGCTTCCCTTCTCAATCCAACAGCACCAAGAAGGGGCTGTCAGAGGTTTCTGAGGGAAGGGGAAGGACCAAGGAGCACCAGGGCTGTGCTCAGCACATGCAGAGACCTGGCAGACACTATCAGCTCTCTGCCAGAAAGCCAACAGCTGAAGGAAGCAAGTCCTGTGTTGTCTAAAAGGGAGCAGAGCCCCACAGCTTCCTTTGGCCCCCCAGAGCAGCAGAGACAAGAGGAACCATTCACTGGACTACAGCACAAAGACCTTGTTTGGGAACAGCAGTATGTGGGAGAAGAGAGCCCATGCCTGCAGATTGGCTGGGTAGCTGAGATCTGTCATGGCAATTTGGGTGCAGTGAGGAACATAATGGCATGCAGAAAAGAAGGCTGAAGCTGGGAATTCATCTGCTTGCTTCCCCCAGTGCCAGGCAAGAGGGAGGCTGTTCCAGCTCCCTCAGTAAGTGTAATTCAGGTCCCTCCCTGCAGTCTGAACAGCCAAGTCAGAGCTAGCAGGCACCACTTCCCTTCCTCTCCTCTGTGGCACTCGAGCAGTGTGTGGCTGGAGCTGTGTGACCCTTCTGTGTGGCACCTGCCCCCAAAAAGGGTTTCTGTCCCTTTCCCTGAGAGCAATCCCACTGGCAGGAACTGGAGAGGGCTAACACTGTGAGCTCACATTCCTCAAAGCATGCAAGCATCTCCCAGCAGAATTCAGTCCACACCAACATCTTGCTGACAGCTTTTCTAACCTGCCATTCAGTTTTATTTCACACGAGCAGTTACAGGCCTGCTGTAGTTTTCCAGGTGCTTTAAACACACAAGGCCAGCTCCTTCCAGCCTCATCAGTTACAAAAGGACCAAAACACACAACAATTTTCTCAAGTGTCACATATTTTTGTGCTGATGTTCTTTCCAGGAAGAGGATTTGAAAGCAATTGCCTTTCCAGGTTATTAAAATAGATGACAATACATTACTGGCTAAGCCTGGGCATGGTATGTGCATAAATGTATGCTTCCCATGCTGCCTCCTGGTCTATTTTTGGTCCTTCTAGGCATGCCCAACATTAGAAAGTACAAATACTTTGCCAAAAGCTCCATCAACAGAGGAAGGTGTTTTATATTTATGGTCAAGAAAAAAAAATATACATCTATGTCAATTTTACTAACAGTGCCTGAAATCACTAAAAATAGCTGCACTTCAGAAGTCATTTCCTTTGGGAGGAAACAAGAAGTGTCCTTTGTCATGCTTTAAATTGGTTCATCCAGTTGTATTTCACTCTGCTTAGAGGACTGTAAAATAATGCAAGGACTTTCTGGGCACTTTCACATTTACAAGGTAAGAAACTGAGCAAGTGACTGCACCCAACAGTGCAATCAGCAATGGATTTTTATCTTTCTAATTATTCTTAAATGTGATACAAAAGAAGGGAAATGCTGGTCCTGCTGACCACAGCAGCCCCAAATTTCAGAGAAAACGTGATTTCCTTGGGTCCTTTCCATTGCACAAGCTCAGAATGAGGGCAAACACACAGAGCCCAAAAGCACACAGAAGGAAAATTCTGTGCAAGGTGAGTAACAACCCAAACATTTAAGGGACTTTCCTCTCCAAAATGGCAACATGCTTTAAAAAACAACAACAGTATTTCTCAGCAAAGGTTATGCTCTTTTACTGTAGCCATTCAGCACCCTTCAGAAAAAGCAGAATTTTAGAGTGCTGAATGAAGCTCTGTTGGGTTGAGCAGTCCTCTGAGCATTTTGAGGCCACTTCTTTTCCCCTGACCATTCCTTGGGGAAGACCCACCCTGCAGCTAGCTGTAGCTTTACTCAAGACAACTTGCACCTCAAAGAGGGAGGAAATATCAACTCCCTCCTGGCCTTACAAACTTTACAAATGCAAAACCCAAAAAAGAAAGGAAAACATTTGCTCCAATTTGTTCCTGGTGCTAGTGGCAGAGCCAGGAGCTCTCCTAAATACTATTTCAACAATAAATACCTGGCCATTTTTCCTGTAAAAACTAGAGATTATTTTTAAAAGCCTGGTTTTATGTAAGAACTTGTGGTTAGCTGGGCCTTTTTAACACAGGGAAGTTACAGTGAACTCCTGAAGTATTCTTATTCTGGAAAGGTTCCCCAAACTTTTGCTACGAGTGAAATGTTTTCATGATAGCAAAAGGAGGCCTGGCCTGAAGGAGTCACACAACCTCAGAGAGAGCTAGAAGCAGACCAAAGGAGCACAGCAGCATCCTTACCATCCCCTTCATCCACCACTGCCCGGATGACCACAGGGAACACGCCACGATCCAAGTCAAAGTTCAGCTGAGGGAAAGAAAGAAGATGAGGTCAGACAACTGACACCAGGCTTGTCTGAAGACAATGCTTGGGGTAGTGTTAACATCAGAGGAGTGAAGGCCCCTTCTGATAGGCCTCCAGTTCCTGGTCTCAAAAGGACATGACAGAGCAGGAGGATTTAAACTCCAGGCACCAACTTTCAACAGGAGTCAACAGAATAACTACAATATATATGCACTGACATGGCACTGAACACCAGCCATGGCTAGCAAAGCAAAGGATCTCCATTTGAATTTTATATGGTATTTAATTCTCACCAATTCATCTATCCTAAGAGTCTCCTGAGTGATTTTCAGTAGGCCAAGTTTCTCCAGATACACATAGTGCCATAGTTTTGCTTGCATGTGGCAGGATGCCCTGGCTGTAGCACAGCAGGACACATCATGCTCCCTACACCACCCCCACTCTTGCATGAAGCTCTTGAAGACATTGAGAAAAATCTGTAAACCTTCAAGCTCACACAACACCTTAAGGCACCACCACACTGATTTCCACCTCCTGGCATGTTATGAAATTCAGCTCCTTGACCTTCTGTATCAGTGAGAGTGAAAATTTAAGATCTCACTTGAGTGCAAGGAAAAGACTCAATTTCTTCCTTTGCCCTGCACTTCATTAAAGCACTTCAAAAGCTCCATGTCATCTTACAAACACCAGAAAAATGCAGCCTTACAAACACTGTCCTGTGCCAGGAACGGAACTGGCTCAGAGGCCGGATTTCTGGGGGGTTTTGCTAATTACTGATTTGGGATCTTATGTCTCATCACTTGCCAAGAGAGGAAAAAGATGTCACTTCAACAGGGTGCTCCAGGTAGACTGTTTTCAGTTTTCCAGTGAAAACTGAGACCAAATTTGAGGTGTCACAGCACCATTCAGGTAGTTTTTCAGGGCTTCCCTCACTTCCCCACAGCCCCAGCATCGTTTGCTGCATGATCTTCTCCAGCCAGTCCCTCAAAAGAGAAACTGTTAAGCTAGCCATTGACAGGAGGCACGTGCTGGAAGAACTTATTGATTTTCACCCTCTGTATGATGGTTTTACATTTCATTCCTCTTTTAAACTGCCAGAACATGTCCTCTTTCCAAACCAGCAGAGTAACAGAGCAAAAAACACAAAAGCCTCCTTTAACCTCTCAGTATTTGTTCCAGAAGAGACTCATTGAGCCCCCATTTTCCAGCCTGCATTTTTGAGCCATTATGGCATGCCACAGAGGGAAAATTCATCGAGGACAATTGATTAGAATTGTTGAAAGAAGCTTATGGCTCTGCTCTGCTTCCTGCTCTGATTTATCACTGCATGACAATGGTTACAGTCTGTCTGTTTGAAGGGCAAGTCACATCACAGAACTGTGGTTGTTTTAGGATACAAACTTTGGAGTTCTCAAACAAAAGGCCTCGTTAAGGGGCTATCTCAAATTCTTTTTTTAGGGATCTGAAAACAACTGCCTTAACACAAGCCATATACTAGAACTTCCAAGCAAACCAGTATATTTACAAGGACAAAGTAAACTTCTGTAAAGCTTTCCACATAACAACCCAACACAACATTATTTTCCCTTCTGTTGGCCAGCCAAGAACTACATCATCCCAAAGTATTACACTGAACAAAAATATGATGTAAATCTGGGTTGGTTTTTTTTTTTTGGCCAACCCCAATAAGAAAGCTGGAAAGCAAACTGCAGTTGCTCACAGCTGAGTGGTAACACTCTGCCAGCTGTCTCAGATAAAAGTGCTGCATTTCAGTTAAAAAAGATTTAGCCATATGCATTTTATTGGACTCAAGAGGACAAGGACTGAGAGATACACAGAGTAGAAACTCTTCCAAATCACAGTGCTTGTTCCACGTTTTCTCCACAACCAGAGCTCCCAGTAACACCAGTGAAGAAAGAGGAGACAGTGAATGCAGCAGAATCAAGCAAAGGGAACCACAAGCTAACTTTCCTGCAGCATCTCTCCCTTTAAGCTGTCAAAGGGACATGACTTTAGTACTCAAGTTAGAGCCTTGCTGGCAGGAACAAAAGTGAAAATTAAGCTCCTCAGTTCTTGAAGAAGAAAGGGTTCAGAGCTCCTGCTCTCCAGCTCTCTCAGATGACAGAGGGGATTGAAAAGCAGTTCTTCCAGGCTTTTGTAGACTGAACTTGTGAAATCATACATTGGCAGAGAAGCCAAGACATCAGGAGACCAGACTCTGCAGGCTCTTGGTAACCACCACGGTGTTTCTTAAGGCACAGGGCTGACTGTAGTTATAACTGTTACTTCAAGACAATAGCTATTCAGTCTTTTCAAAATACATGAAAGAGTACTTTTTTTTCCTCTTTTTTGGTTTCTTTTCTTTTTAAATAGGTAGGAGGCTTTTATTTTTGTTCTTTTTTTTAATAAGTAGAGTTATCTACAAGGGTTCACATACACAATGCTCTTCAACAGGCTTGGGTGAGGAAATGAACACTGTATCAGTGCTGACCTGGGTGAGGGGCCCACAGGAATAAATGTATTAGCAGTAGCTACAGATCAACTCTTCTGCATCAGAAAACTCTTATGGCAACTCTGCACAGAGCAGAGGAAAGACCAGGGCCTCCCTGCCCTGCCTTACGTGCAGGGGAAGCCCTTGGGCCAAAGCCCAGAGGTTCAAGAAGCAGAGCTGGAATTTTGCAGACACCAAAATTAAGAGGACTCCACAGATCTTCCTACGTAATAAAAGCCACAGAGCTTAATTAAAGCCAGGCCTCTGTCTGTCTGCAGTTATGGGTTAAACTGAAAGGAGGAAGGCATTCCCTTATTCACCACCAGAGTGAATCTGCCCAAGAGCATCCCCAACCCTGTGCTGCTACAGCTAACAATGCAGGACGTGGCCCTTAAACAGAGCAGGACTCCTCTAGAGCAGTGGTCTCCAAACTAGATGAGTAAAATATTTTGAGCATGTACTCCTAATACATGTGTATTAAAAAACCCAAATTGCTCTTTGGCTGGCAGGGAGCAGAAGGCTGAGGCATGGCAGGTTCCTGCAGGAAAAGCTCCAGTGCCAAACTCTGCAGTCTCCCCCCCACACCAGATGTTGGGGTACCAGCTGATCATCAAAAGTCACTTCTCTGGGTTTCTTCCCCGTTTGCCTGATGAACCAGCCAAGTTCTCATGCAGTGTTCATAGCTGCTCCTCCCAGGGCCCCATTTCTCACACCCACAAAACATGCCATGGCAGCTGGGAGAGGGTGTCTTCCAGTCACAACTTCATGGCATTACATGGAGTCCAGTGCTTCTGGGACAAGAGGATTGTAGGAAGAAGGGGATGCTGAGCAGAGACTTACCTCATCATCCTTCCAGTCTGAGAAATCAATCTTGAAGGATGGCAGGGAGAATTGCTGGCTCACCCCTCTCTTGTAATGAACCGTCTCCGACTGCAGGGAGGGATTCTTTGTGCTGTAGCTGAAGAAAGGGGGGAAAAAGAAAACTTGCTGTAACACATGACTGCTCTCTGCTAGGCTCTGGTTCATTCACGCCTGGCAGGAATCCCAAGTGGCAGCTCTAGGAGGCAGAGCTGGCAGCCATTCAGTGGGGATACACACGGGGAAGGGAGAGGTCAAAGCAAGAAGGTGAGCACGGGGAAGGGAAAGCAGCACAGACAGGCAAGGTCTGATTGGATCCACACTGCCTGGAAACACTGGGTGTCAGAGGAGTACAGTGAGGTGCAGCTTGGCAAAGGCTAGCTCACTAAATCCAGGGCCTAGGCAATGCTGGCCTTCAGCCCAACACAGTCTTATTTTCTGCAGGAAAGCCAGGAAGAACGAGCAATGATCTCACAGTGGCAACAGACAGCCCATCATGGTGCTGAAGGCTCTCCCATGCCTCCACGGGATGGCCCTGCAGTGAGAAACACTGCAGCATTTCCAATTCACTCCCCTGCTTCTCGTGTGCTTCCTCAGAAGGGTTGCAGGGCTATCAACATCACCAGAGAGACACTGAAACACCAGGACTGCCAGGCTGGGATGAACATCACCGGAGTGGGACCACAGCTGCCATCCACCATCTTCTGCACCCAGAGCCCAGCCAGCTCTGGCTGCCCCAAGTTTCACTGCTCACTGCCCATCACTACAGATGGTGTGATTCACAGCCAGCTTCAGTGGCAAAACAGGACTGAGAAGTTTGCATCCCCTTCTGGAGGGTGATTTCTGAGCTGGATGTGCACAGCCTCTTACTACACCCGTGAACTGCAAAGCAGGGTGGGAACATGTGAAGCTGGTTTTACCACCAAAGCCTCTGTTGTCAAGCTATCAATTGTGTGTTCAGAGCACAGTGACAAATTGGAGAGAAAGTGAGAGATCCCTTGCCCCAGAGGCTCACACTGCAGAAACAAGCACCTCCCCAGGCACAGTGAGGAGACAGGTCTCCCTCCAGCTCCACAAGAAAGACTTTAACAGGCAGCCACAGCAATGGGGTGTTACTAACCCTCACTTCCTAAGCAGAGCTTCACACAGAGAGACTTCAGGAGTGCTGCCCTCCAGCCCCTGCACACTGAAGGAAGCCTTGCTGACTGTTCAGACTCAATTACCACCACTCTTGATCAGCCAGACAGCCCGGGGACAGGCTCCAAGGACAGGAGTCATGCTAGCACCAGGAACTCAAGGCTGAGTTTCTCCCCAATTCAACCTGAGACATCACACAGGATCCTCTGACAACCAGCTCCTTGGATTTTGCTGCTTCTATCTCTCCAAGAATATCATGGGCAGTAGCACTGCCAGCCCTGCAAAGGAGCCACCACCCGAGGAGACTGAGGCATTTGATGTCCCTGATGCAGTACAGAGCCCTGCCAAGCAGAGCAGTTAACAGTGTGCACACAGGCAAAGAAAAGAGAACCCTTCCTTGAAAAAAAAAAGCATTCTGTACTTTTGAGGATGTTCAGCCATTCTGAAACACAGGCACAGCTCAAGAATCCAGGCAGAGGATGGAAAGCTCCGAGTTCCTTTGTCCTAAGCACACTTTGTGGAGGAGTGCAGCACACCAGAGGAGGATGGCAAGACAAAGAAGATGGCAGAGGTGATTAGAGAAGATACATCTGAACCTTAAAACTCACCTTTAAGCGATGCTGTGGAAACTTTGCACTCAAGAGCTACAGCTCTGGCAGCTACCTGCTGCCTGAGTGCCAGAGCCCACAGACAGCAGGCTGCCCCCCAGGGCCAGGCCAGCCCATGCTGTAACACAGGGCCTTAAAGCATCAGCATTAGGATGCAGCTTGCAGCTGAAAGTATAAGAACCTGGATACCAGAAGATGATGAATAGTTATTAAGTCCTCTCAAAACCAGGCTCCCCACTGTTGCTGCCTTTCTCTGGTAAGTTAGTGTAGCTCCTGCACCCTCCAAGGATCCAGGAGTCTTATCAGGTGTCACCAGAGCCACGTTAAATTCTGGAAGGCTGTGACAAAGGCCAGAATCACCACGTGCACTCCGGCCAAGGCAGGTGCATTATGTTTTTTATGACAATAAACTACCCTCAAAGATCATTCTGTACAGCACTGGAATTGTGCTGCTTTACTAGAAGGTCTCCCTCCATCCTTTGCATTTAAAGCATGGTGTGGGAGAGATCAGAATGACAGGTCTTTTATGTGTGAATTACAGAGCAAGCAATTGAGTGAAGTTTTATTTACTGAGTTGTCAAGCACAATGAATAGAGGAAGCCTGTATCTAGCTCCTTTTGTGGTGCTCTCAAAGCTTCCCAGTTCTGCAGAGAGGCACGACTCTCCCTCTACAGCTGGAAAAGCAGGGGATGGATGAGAGACTTATTTAAGGTGACAGCAAGTCAGGAACCTACTGGAAATAAAGTGCAGAGGAGAACGTGGAGGTCAAGAGACTGCCTTGACATGCATCCCAGCAGCACTGGGGATGGGGTGTAAACGTGCTGGTGATAAGTGCCAGGAAGACTGAAGGACCTGCACTTACAGCACCAAGAAGCTCCATGTCCTTCTACAAGTGATTAGGAGGGAGCTAGTCCTGTTCTGCTGGTGTTCAAGGGGCCAGGAGTTGATGTGGAACAAGCAGGCTGACCAACTTCTCTCTCCCATCCACACATCCTGGCCAGGGTCTCACAGGTCAGCTTTCAGGGAAGAGGGAAGTTGGACAATCATCTCAACTCCAAGTGATTTTTATTGATAAAAGGAACACTATCAAAATACATGAAGGCCAGTCAGAGTCTGAGTTAGGCAAAATCCAGCCCTGAGAGGCTCCCACTGAGTCTGGAGGTTAAGTGGGTGCTAAGCTGGTGTACTGCAGTTCCTGTCATTCCTCTCCTCTCCTGCTTCCTCCCAGGACTGAGTTTCTACCCCAGGCCAGGAGAAAACAAACACCTTACTGTGGAGCTGAAACCCTGCCACCCATACCCTGCTCCAGCACCTGCAGAGTCTGCCTTTAGCTGCTGAACTTACTGGAGGAGCACCACGCTCAGGACTCCAACCAGGCTTCAGAGCTGTCAGCTTACACAACAGCCACACAGAGGAGAACGAAGGCCAGAGCTCTTATTAAAGATAGAGGGTTTGATGCACAGTGCAACCTATAGAATTTAGCTCTCCAGCCTGCAAACTTTGCACACTACAGTGTTCCCTCAGGGACTGGTGTCTGCCTGGATCAAAGCAGGCTTGGGCTGTGAAGGCTTGTGCCTAGCAAAAACCAGCACTCGCCTCTGATTCCTTCACACAGAAAAAAAACCTCTGAGCAAAGAATTCATATTAATCACCACAGGCCAGAGCCAAAAGCAGCAAGAGCACCTTTCACAGGCCCTGAATAGACAGAGGCTATTAAATAACCAAAGGAATATCTGAGTGCCTGTCTCTCCTGTGCAAGCTTCAGTGCAAACAGCCATGTGCTGAAGTACCCGTTCCAGCTGGATTTCATTGGAGAACCAACTATTCAAACTTCCACATGCAGAGAGAATATAAAATCCTTGCAGTGTCACGTCCACCAGCAGCTCAAAAGACTGCAGTAGGATGCTTGTGATGAGTGTAGCTGGCATGGCAAGGCAAACAAGGAAATGAGATTTCTTTCTTTTTTTAAATTATCCACTACACCCATTTGTGCGTCGGCAACACAAACGGCACTGCCCTGAAACAGGGCAAGGATGGTGGAGATAGACTGACCCGTTTTCATTGTGTTTTCTCTTTATAATGAGAAAACAGAGCCTGGCAACAACGCTAGGATAGGGACGAGAACCTTTTCTGTCCAAAGAGGAAGATATTTTTCATAAGAATGGGCTGCAAAACTCAAACCTCTCACACCGTACTTATCGCCAGCTCCTGATCTGCCTGGATTGCTCACGCCTTCAGAGCTGCCTGGTTTAAGTGCTTCCAGCTACAGGGCTGGTTCCACTCCTTCCCCCCAGGAAACAACCGTTGCTGTCATGTTTTAACTTCACTATCCTTCCTGCTAGTCAGCAGGATACCTACAGCTGGAAAAGTCCCAGCAGCCCTCCCAGGAACAGGCTAACAGCATGCACATCAAGGCTTTTGACAGAGAAGAGGATGTACTCCTGAAGCAGACATAAAAAGAGAACAGGAACAACTCTGCAGTCTGCTCCAAAAACATACCTGTCTCCTAAAACAAAGACATCCAAGGGTGCAAACACCTGAAGCAGTTACTGCAGGAGAAGGCAGGCTATGGACTGGTAATCCTTCTCTAGGAGGTGCTGAGGGGTACTGTCAGCCCTGCCATGGAAACATGATGCAGAGTTACCCTCTCATTTATCTGGGGGGATTCCATGCTGATGGGCAATCACTAGTCAGCAGCTGACATGCAGCTCGTGCACTTGGATGTCTGTGCCTCCCACATGCCAAGGCAGAGATCCTCCTGCCATTTAGATTGGGCCCATCCTGGTCACCCTCCTGGCTGCACGTGCTGATCACCTCCACTGCAGGCACAGAGCTGCCTCACCAGCTGGCTACTCTTAACACCCAGAGAGCAGCACGGATTCTGACAGCAAATTTTTTTTTTGGTTGTAGGACATTTTGGAAGTTGACAGGTCCTGCTGTGCCTCAGTGACACTGAGCAGTACAAGGCTTGTCCTCAGGGGTGAGCAGTCAAGCTGCTATGGTTTCCCCAGCCAGGGTATTCCCTGCTTCCTACCCAGCTGCTGGGAAATGAAAGCCAAAGGAAAGGACAAACAGAAATATCACTCTCACCAAGCCATCCCAGTCTTGGAACAACTCCCCAGGAGCACACCCACCACTAACCAACGATGAGAGCAGATCCTTGTGGAAGACCCCATGCTAAAGCTCACTGAGGGACTGCCTCAAGAAACAGAGGCACAACACAACAGTTTGCCAACTTCCAAAACCAAAGGAAGTGGACACAACCAGAAAAATAAATAAACCAGAAGATATTGGGGGTCTTGAGCTGTTCAGAGACAGGTCACCACTAGTTCCATGACATTAAAAGGTCTCTGGACACAGGCAGATCTGGTCTCTGTTATCCCTGGGGTAATGCACCAGCTGGTTCTCTGAGAACTGGTGTGTTTTACCCCGAAGAGTCTTTAGGCTCATGACAAAGTAACGAGGCAAAAGATACTCAGAAGGTGAGAGCAGACTTAAACTAATTCCCTATTCATCCAGGAGGCTTCTACAGATACCTGCACTAGCACCAGAAGGTGCTGGCTGCCTTCCCTTGGGCATGGTGAAGACACCACTACAATCACCAACAGCCACACATTCAGACTTTACTGTTTCATTGCAGTCCAACAGTGGTGATGATAGAGGTCCCCAGGAAAATCAAAGTCAAGGATAAGAGGCAGGCAGCACTTGGGAGCTACATGTTCCTAAAATCTCATCTGGGAAACTGTAGCTGAGTGTATCTCCCTGCACAATTACCTGGGAAAGGCTCCTGAACGCTCCTTTGAGACAGGTTAGGGCAGGCAGCATGTACTGATAGAGCCACCAGCTTTCATACAGAGCCCAAACAGCTCCAGGAGGAAGCTTCCTGGCTTGCAGAGAGAAAGGCTTCCCCTTGGTCATGGACACCACCTAACCCTGAAGGCAGGCCCCTGACACACAGGGTGCTGTGGAGCTTGGATCAGCAGAGGTTCTACAACAAACAATGCCTCTGCTCCCACATTCCCTCCCCTCCCTCCTCTCACCCCAAACTGCACGAACACAAACACTTCCTCACAGGAGTTTCACAGGAGCAGGAGTGCTGATGCTATCAGGATCAGTGGGTTTCAGCAGAGAAGCAAGAATAACTTGTTTAGCACTTCTGTGGAACCATGCTGCAGGCTGGGGACTAGGAGAAAATTTCTGCCTTTGATAAGGAGTTGGAAAGTTTCTCCCATTTTAGGATTTAGTATCAATTTTGGAGAGTGGAAAAAAAAAACCATTTTGTTTTAAAGTTATTTTCTTCCCAATCAAATAAATGCTGCACACAGCAATAGAAAAAGTTTTGAATGTATACACAGCACAGCTTTTGCTCATGCTTGTTCCTTGAATGTAGCTCTCAGCACCAAAAACAACTGAGAAAAAGGAAGAGCTACCAGCCCAGGCAAGGGGAAGCTTCATTCCTACAGTGCACTGAAAAATGCACTCCCTCCACTCAGAGCTCTAAGAGTGTAGCCCAGATTTATTTTTTCTCCCACTAGAATTTCAAAAGAATAAACCAAAGTAATTATAACACTGCCCTTTCAGAATTGCTTTGCAAAGCTGAAATAAGAGCTTCAAAAGGTTTCACCAGCAGCCAGCACATCCAGAGAAGCAGAGGTGCCTACTTCAGGCAGCTGCCAAAACTAGCCCCAAAACGTGCTTCATGAGCCACTGACTGCTGAGCCTGGTTTCATGCAGAGATGAACAAAGGCTTCTCCTCCACCACCTGAACAGAGACTCATCTCTCACTGAACCATGGACAGGGTGGATTAAATTTTTATGTTTTTAATTTTCTTTCAAGTTGACAGTTGTGTTAAATTCCAGAAACTCCATGTAGGGAATTGTTCAGATTAAATTTAAAAAGTACTGGGTAGTGCATGAGCTTTAAAGAACAGACAACAGCACTGGTGACAGTCACTGGCTTAGTGCATGGCACTAAATTTCATTAAAATGTGTTCTTAAGTGAACCAGAAACTCTGTTTCTCTCCTCCAATCAACCAACACAGTTCTGAGAGGAGTGCTACTAGTTACAGAAGACTGAAAACACACTCTGCCCAGAAACAGTTATATTCAGTGTAACTATTAGTTCCATTAAGCAATTATTATTCAAGGCACAACCTGACAAGACAGTCTCTAAAAAGTCCCATGTGGAGCAGTTTAACCAACAAGAGTGCTACACTGCTGGTCTCAAGTGATGTGTTTGTACTCCCCAACACAGCTTGGTTCAAGACACAGGTTTAAAAAAAAATACTTTTTAGAAGTAGCTTTTCTTCTTAGAATAACTTTCTTTTTTTTTGCCAGTTTGACATAAAATGCAGAAAGAGGAGTCTGAAAGAATACATTTTAAACTATGAGACTTAAGCTCAGTGTAAGGTGCAGCACAAAGTTTGATATGAAGCTTACACTGTGTTGTAGATGCAGAAGTTTCACTGTTGCTGACCAGAGCCAAACTCTCCTTTGATGTAAACCAACAACTGGATGTACAAACTAAAATTAAAATGAAGATTTAAAACAAGACTTGCTGATTTAAGCCATGGCTGAAGCCTGGCAATGTAAATACATCCACCCTGGCCACAGAGGCCCTCAGCTCTCCTCATCAACCCATGAACTGCTTCCTTCTGAGGTCAAAACCCAAGGAGCACCGCAGGGCAGCACATGGGACACTGGCCACCTCTCCATGTTGTACCTGTGTTA